CCTTTAAATTCCTCAGAGTACTGTACAAAAGGTAAAAAACAGCAACACACTCCAATCTCATTAGGCAAAATCTTGCATAGACTAACATGGCTACCTATTCCAAAACTACACTCCAACCTGTGGAACTTGAACGGCTTCACTTACTCCCAAGTCCCTCACAACCAAAAATAATATTTCTTTATTTTTTTTTAATCTGAAAAGGCCCCTCATGCCCTCTACTGGCTGTAGGGAGCAATTTTGCACCTCCCCACCTCAGTCCTGTGCTACTGTAAAAAGAAACAAATAAATCCAGTTTTGAAGAAAGCCCTTCTCCTGCCAGAAGTAGCTGAGGGGAATTCAAAACATGGTTGCTTACATGTCCTATAAAGAGCACCAGAAGAATTTCTCAGCGTTCTGTAAAATGGGTGTGTGTGGAGTGTTAAAGAAGCTTAGAGATGCTGAAGCATTTGGACTCTTGAGGAGACACATACAGCCTCTGGGCAACAGCTTGCCCACCTGTAGAGGGCTTGGACCAGTTGAAACCAAGTGAAGGGAGTGTTTTACTTTAGTAATTCTTCTGGGGATCTGGGTGCTAGACTTGAGTGCCCTCCATCTTGTACTGTGCTGCCTACCTACCTGCTTCTGGACTCATCAAGCGCTGGGGTGGGGGGGAGAGAGACAAATTTCCCCATAATTTCTAGTAGTTTTCTTTGGAAGGGGTTGATTATTTGCCTTTATTCGCCTGCTTGCTTTTCAGGAGGAAGGCTTTATGTGTGGCTGTGACTATACTGAAGTTTGATTGGCAGCCTATCTAATGGTTCAGTTCACTTTTAGTGATCACACAGGAGGCATGGATTGATTCAGAACCAGTGTCTGCCCTGACTCCTCAAGGTGATCCTCGTTTCAGTTCAAAGTACACACACACACACAGCTCTGTTCCTACATCTGCCAATTCTTTTATGGTTCACTGTCAAATCCCTTGGTTTCTAAAGAGTTGCACAGCATAGTGGGAAATGTGGCATCTTTTCAAAGTTCTTCATAACATACATACAAATATATGCAAATACCACAGAAACATAAGCAGTCTTCTTTATTTCACAGAGTTGTTTCTATCTCATAGCAAATTTTTTTTAAAAAAATTTGTGACACACTAAACTAGTGTATCAGTGCAATGACTCGGTGCTACCCTTGTTATTAAAAATGTTTGGGGACATTTATGGGACAAATTATGGGAGTGGTGTTCCTGTAGTCCCTAAATATCACACCCAACTGCCTACATCACCACTAAACCGCACACAGAAACACATACACCATCCTTTTGCAGAGGGAAACAACTGATAACATGGGCAAACGTCCATTCTAATTGTTCTGGCTTGGAAAAAAGCAGATGTCAAAAAAACTTGGATTCATCCATTTTATAATTGGATCAAATCCCATAGTATTTGACTGTGTAGTTACATGCGTGTGTGTGTGTGTGTGTGTTTATATCTTACCCCCCCCATGTGTATGTACATGGGAATGCTTTCCTTGTTAATTGTTTTTTAATTGATATTTGTTTAGTTTACTGTGTATTCTGATAAAGGTATATATTTTGGTGATTTTATTAAAAATAGTTTTTCTTTTTCATGAACTGTTGCTTGCTTTCAGAGTAGACATTCTCAGTTGCTTTGCCTCCCTGCTTTTTTGGAATAACACTTTAGGGTTCTTCAGGACTTTTGGGGTGCCAAAAACACAAATGGGGAAACACAATAAAATGAGCCTGAAGAACTGTTCCTTTTTATGTTAAACAGGACGAGTGCACAAAAACAAAATGACCAGATATGAAAGAGGCATTCTCTAAGAGCTCAAAATGAAACAAACAAAAAAAGCCACACACATTACCATCACATTTAATGTGTTTCTTAAAACAAAAGCATCAGCCACTAGAACCAGTTAAGATTAGATCTCACAGTGCACAAAGAAGCTCTTTTTAAATTTATCCATACATCATGTCCCAATGAAAAGTTTAGTTGGCAAATAGCAGCTTTGAAGGCAGCAGTTTTCATTGGGACAATGGCTTAGGGCAGAGGTTAAACCTGTAATCTTTATCTGGTTCACAATTGCTGCTTTTTCCTCCTTTATTTTTGAACACATATATTAAATACAATCACACATTATGCATACACCTTGCAGTTGAACTTCTGACTTAGAAAATCAGCTCAGGCAATCCTTGAAACCTGAGCAATCTACGATACTTATGTTTGCCCTGTTACCAGTGGTGGATTTCTCCAGGTCAGTTCTCCTGAAATCTCTCCTGAGAAGGCAGGCACTCAACCTACTCAAAGCAAATGAAAGACAATGCTAGCAACTATTTTTCATGCCCAGGCACCATTCTCAATGTTTTGAACAGAGATTTCTATAGTGTCAAATTTTTTTATTTGACCAAGCATCTTTCGACCATGATTGCTATATGATAATATTGACTGGGGTGGATTGCCAGGGAGAGGCCTGTCTGTAAAGAAGCCCTGTTGTTTTCTCAGAAACAGAAAAAGACAAGACAAGAAAATGCACTAGGGAATAGAATACATCAGTGTGGCTATTTAAAAGGCTTCTTGCACACTTTAAAATGGATGCACTTCCTGACCGACCTTTGCAAGGAACCTAACTGGGAAGCCCATAAAATATTTACATCCCTTCTGCCTGGTAAGCTCATTATCTATTGTAAAGGTTGTTCACTATTTATTTTTTCTTTGGGATAGCTCTACAAATGATTGTGCTTCTGCAAAATAAATGACTTGGCTTAAAAAACATCAATGAACATTCTTCCCCACCACCACCACTTATGCACTAAAATGCAAGTGCACAAATGTGATAACTAGTTATCCTGAGCCTTGAGATATGCAAAGATACACCTGAACACCTGTTGAAAATCTTGAAAGCAGACCTATTACTTTTTGTTCTTAACTTCTTTAATTCTTTTGGTTGGCTGTTGCAATGCTAATCAGAGGTAAGTAAAATTAAACTGTTCCTGATTTTTGTTTCTGTTTTCTCTAGTAAGGAATCCAATGCTGCCCTCCCTTAAATCAGAGCAGGTGGGCCTCCAGTGCAAGCTTGGAGGTGAGAAAGATAGCAAATCAAAGACCTCTGCATATTTCCAAAAACTGGGCAAGAATTCACTACATAATGCAACAAAATCCTGGATCCAGTCCAGACATATTTATGGCCTAGTTAGCACCAACAGTCTTATCACTGGTGAAATTTGGCAGCACCCACCAACCATCATCATCACCAGCTTAGAACTGCAGAGCTGGAAGGGAGCCTGTGGGTGAAGACTGTCCCCTATCAAGGAGGCACAGTGGGGAATCAAACTCCCAAACTCTGGCTCCACAACCAGATACCTAAACAACTGAGCTAAAGATATTGGCCAGAGTTCTGTTGCTTAGCATAGCAAATGATACTAGAGAAGGCTCACTGAATCAATGGAATTTTGTTGAGTCAAATAATCTGTAAGTTCCAATGATTCAAATGGGATTCCTCTAATTTGGACTTTAGCATCATCATCACCACCATCATCATCACCTTAGAACTGCAGAGCTGAAAGGGACCCTATGGATCATCAAGTGCAGCCCCTGACAAAGAGGCACAGCAGGGAACTGAACTCCCAACCTCTGGCTCCACAGCCAACAACCTAAACCACTGAGCTATCCAGCATTGTAAATCGCTACTAGAGTAGGGCCATTTGAAACAATGAAACTTATGGAGGAGTTGACTCACTAAATCTCCATTGATCCAATGTGTCTGCTCTACTGCAATTTACTGTGTTAAGCAACAAGATTGCACCGTTGAGTGTGAGGCTGGCATGGCCATATCTTCAGGGCCCAGTTCCATCCAGAAATCCATCTCGAGGAGAACCAAATACCCAAGCGGCAAACACATGAACAGTAGTTTTATGTTGTATTTGTAATGCTCTTCTATGCTATTTCAGGCGGCAATAACACGCTACTTAAATAACTGAAAACTCTTGTCATGTAAAAAACAAACTATATACATTCAAGTGTAGCATAACTCAAACATCTTCCTCACACAGCTACCCTCTTGTGTAACAGCTAATTATTTCAATAAAGAGCTACACAGCAGAGCTGGAGCAAGAACTAATACAGTGTCCCCTCAAAAATTATCATTAAAGGTCCACTAGGGAAGCATAGATGCATAAATGACAACAGAGAGTGAGGGGACTAAATAAGCCATCACGCAGAACAAGGTTCACCGAAGCCTGCTTCCTATCAGATGGGCAAATACATGGTCTTTCCTCACATTAAAAGATAGCAATTCTACTTTGCTATCCAGTCTACACTCAACAGGAATCCCCCGTGCGCCCCCAACCATACTAACACCATGATAAACATTGAACACATCTTCCTTTTGCTTTTAACAGTGTACCTTTTATTCATCTCAGATCACAGAATGGATTTTGAGAGAGCATGCAACTGAGTAACATGCCTCCCTCAAGTCAGATGTACAAGTAAGATGCAGGGCAAAGTGATTCTAATGGTCAACCACTGGTTGAGTCTTAAGTCTTAAGCCTACTGTGCATTTGTTGAAAACAAAGCCTGAGTGGCAGCTAAGAAAGCTGCATCTGATTTCACATACACAACATCACATCCTTTCAGACTGGAACAACTGATTAAGAAGAAAGCCAGCCCTCTAGTTGTGCATTCAGAAATGCAGATTAGAATTCCCATTTCTTCCGTGACTTATACTAAACAGCTGGGAGATAGTATATACTTTTCCTATTCAATAACTATCCTATATTGACTAGGGCTAAATTTCTTCTGCAAGCCTTTCTGCACCAGATGTCGATAAAACAAGAGGTTCAATTAACCTTCACATTCTGAGCCTCTAAAAGGTTCTGTCCAGCATGTATAGCTTGCATTACCTTACCCTACATATGTTGTTTTCTTGCTAATAACTAACTACTGAAATATCTCCCAGAAAGGAAACAATTACAGGTTCTACTTAAAAAATAGTTAAGGCAGGCTTACCGTTACACCAAAGAAGCTGGTCTGATTCATTGCATCCAGGAAAATTTTTCCAAGTTCTCTGTTGGTATAGTTAAAGTCCTCAATTTTTTGGTTTTTGTTGGTGGCATTGAGAATCTTCATTGCCTGCTGCAGAGTTTTGGCAATTACCCATATTCCATCATAAGCAAAGCCATGGAACTTACTTGGCTCAACATTTCCACGCCTTTGATCATACTCCTCTTCATATTGCTGTGGTGTCTTTGGGAAAAGAAGATAAAACAGATTTGCTGGTCAGCATATTCCCGAACTCCACACCCTGATACTTAAAACAGTTTTTTAAATTAAAAAAAACATTTTAGTGAGGATGGGAAAAATCATAGCAATTACGGAAGATTTCAGACAGAAAGCTGTGTCAGTCTATCTCAGTACGTATAACAAAAAATGAAACAAAACTAAAAGTAGAATGGCCCTTTAAAGACTAAAGTATTTATTTCAAAGTGAATCTTCATGGTTACATTCCAGTTCATCAGACTGGAGGTATGGGTTGTAATCTACAGAAGCTCATGCCAAGGTAACACTTCTGAGTTGTTGAAGGGAAGGAAATGTAAAATCCATGAAAGCCCACACAGTAATTCTACAAAGTGGCATAGACAAGGTATAGCTATAAAATAACAAGGAGAAACATACTTTTATAATGGCAGAGGGGAAGGTAAACTGCTCATTAAGATAGTAGGTGCTTCCAAAGAGTGACATGAATAGAAGGAGGACAGTATGTGAATTCATATGATTAATGGAATGGAACTATATCTCAAAGAATTTGGATTGGTCTTTAATTGCCCTTGGAACATGGACATAGACAGTAGATCTTCCTCTCATAGCTATCTGCCACTGCCACAAATTTTCTATTTCCATCGAACAATAAATAGACCTTCAATCCCTTTTGAATGCATTCATGAAGTTGTCTATATAACCGAAGTACATCAGCGGTACATTAGCTTGGACCACTGCTGTTTGTTTTTTTGCTGACACAGAATGCAAGGAAGATTTTTTTTGTCCACAGTGAGATCTAGTTGCAATCATCTGTGGAAACATTGCAATCTTTTATACTGAGCCCTGTGGCAGAAATGTTAAACTGTAGTACTGCAGTCAAGGCTCTGCTCACAACTGAGAGCCTGATCCCATTGACAATAAAAGCTGCTCTTGTATTGGGTTCTACTAAAAGAAACTCAACTCAAATTTAGGGATACACACGAGGCAGGTGTACATGTGGAGTAGTGTGCCAAGGGACTGAGTTTTTCTACTCCTCTGTCAGAGGTCTGTTTATTTTGAGGTGGATGTGGAATTGATTCCTTGAAATCGGTTCCACATGTGTGAATGCCCGACAGGAGCAGAAAAACTCACTCTCTCACCACCCAATTGCCCCCTCCCTTGCCTGTGTAATGTCCCCATGTCACCTGATTGCGCCTGTGCCAGCCTACCATCTCACTCACCCACTTTATCATCCCCCACAAGCCGAAACATCCCCCCTACCTGCCACCTCACCTCAATCACCCCAAAAGCCTGATCAGTCATGCCAGCCTGCCACCTCACATGCCTTCCTGAGCTCCCCCTTGCAAGCCTGCAAGCTCCTCGCCAGCTTGCCACTTCGCCCACCTGTCCAATTGTCCACACTTCCTACCTTCACCCATGCCTATGACTGATCTTGTCATTATTATCATTATAAAACAGGAAATGGCCAAGGAAGTTTTTTTTTCATTTATTCGTATGAAACTGTGAAGATAGTTATCAAAAAGAAGACTGCTAATTTTGTCATTGCTTTGGAGTTTTCTAACAGGAAAGAGCTCCTTCAATATTAATCAATGCTACAATTTCCTGTCCTCTAAGATCTTGGGTCTGGAGATGTGGACAGACATAAATTAAGGGAGTGATCATCCCCAGCCACCTCTACAAAACTATTATTATAAACGTTAAACCATTAATTCATAATGCAATATTACAACTTAGTAACTGGAGCAAATTAAAACTCTCTTGCCCGGGCAGCATCACATCAGTCAAAATGACAATTCTGCCAAAGATAAATTGTCTGATATTAATTTTACCCACATAGATTTCAGACTCATTCTTTCATCATTGGCAAAAATATGTTTAAAGCAGAATTAAAATCAGTGAAGGCTTTTGGGGTTATGTGAATCTTCAGAAAGATAGTGAAAAATGTTTCAGAAAAGATTAAGCATCTTTCAGTCTCGAGACACTATGGTAACGTGCTCTGAATAGAGGACTTGGAAGAGCGTCTAGTGTGACTGAGAAGGCCAATTCGAGAGTGACAATCCCTTCCACACTGAAGACAAATCCAATCTGTCCCCTGTCCAGCTCCCTGATTTTGCTGCTTTCGGGACTGTCTCTTTGCCTCGGGCCTGCTGGACAAGTGGCTCTTCAAAATGGGAGAGGCCATGATGCATCACCTGCCTCCAGGCTGAACGCTCATAGGTCAAAGTTTTCCATCTGTTGAGGTCCATTCCTAAGGTCTTCAGATCCCACTTGCAGATGTCCTTGTATCACAGCTGTGGTCTCCCTCTGCACTAATTCTTCATTCATGAGATCTTTTGGAATACAACCATCAGTCATTCTCACTACATGCCCGAGCCAATGTAGATGTCACTGTTTCAGTAATGTATACTTGCTAAAAATTCCAGCTTGTTCTAGGACTACTCTATTTGGAACTTTTTCTTGCCAGATGAAACCAAAGATGCATTGGAGACAACGAATATGGAACGTGCTCGGCTTCTTCTCCTGCCTTGCACAAAAGGTCCAGGACTCACTGCAGTACAGGAATGTACTGCAGGACACAGGCTCTATAGACGTGGATCTTGGTATATGCCGTCAGCATCTTATTAAGCCATACTCTCTTTGTGAGTGTAGAGAACATGGTAGCTGCTTTGCGAATGCGTTCGTCCAAAAGAAAAGAAATATATCACAAAAGGAATTTAGGAGACAACAATTTCAATTAGGATGACCCATCAGGGGCATTTTTGTAATCTTCCCCCAGGTCACCTGAAACATCCCCTATTTAAACAAATGGAGTAAACTAGGTCAAGAAAGCCCTATTCCCACTACTGGAAGCCTCCATGACTGGCAAATTTTGCTTCAGGAGTGACTGATTCAATCAAATACCCTTACAATATTTGTTACATTAAATGTGAAGCAAGTAATACTTCATCACATTGTTTAGGGCACTGTTACCATGGTGATATTAATTTGCTAAACTGAGCTCAAAATAATCGTTCGTGTTCACCAAGAGAAAATGAACTAATTAAGGATGTCTGACCCCTTGGGAGTACTGTTACATACCCGAAAATGCAAGTCAGCATGTTTCTTCCCCTCTCCACAGGATAAGCCCGGGTTCCCACAACCTTCCTCTATGCCCCTGACTGATTACTTTCCAGCAATTCCACTGCTAGGAGACTTTCTCTTCCAGCTTTGAGCCACCCCCAGATTTTATGCAGGTACTCAGACAAGCTGCCTTTCCCTTTTAATACATTTTGAAACAACACTTAGCACTAGTACTAAAACAGTCTGAAGTTCTTTCAGTGCTTTATATATAAGGAGGGAAATCCATTTTGGAAACTTCACTGGAGAGGGTGAAGGGTACATGAATGCAAGGTTAATAGCCAATCAGTACTAAGCACAAACAACCTCCAAGATAAACTAGCAGCACTGCTTATCTCAGAAATCAGATTGTGGAGAAATTACATCTGCCTGACAAGAATGTAGAAAGCACCCTTCCAAAGTGCAACAAGTCTTCATTTTAGTACATTTGGAGCTTCCCTAATGTATGTTATACCTGTTACCAGTCATGACAGATACATATTAGCTAATTTTATCTGAATGCTAAATTGCCCTTATTCAGATTTATCTTTATAATGCTCAGATTGAACTGTTAGGATTTGGTGAAAGAGCTAGGATGAAGTGAAAGAGCCCAGATTGCTTTGGACTAATCTCAAGACTAAGGTTGTGATTACACTGGTAAAATAACTGTTTTCTGAAATGCATTTACATTCAAATGAATCAACATTTAAAAGAGTGTCTCCATTGCACAAATGCAAGCCCAGATTAGTCTGCCAGGGAAGCATGTTTCATCAGTGGAACATGACCTAAAATTCTGTTCTGCTAGAGGGTTGTTTAAAATAGTTTGCATGTGAAATTTGATTTCTTTTATTAATTTCTGCATATGTACACCCCTGTTGCTGCAAATTGCACCTTGGAGTAAGAGTGGGAGAAGCTGCAGGAAATAAGGACGGAGGGCAAGTGTGCTGGCAAAGTTATTTGTAAAAGATATTTGCAAAATATAGCAGCTTGGCTGTTTCTGTACCTTTAAGAATGCCTTTGCTGGTCTCTGGGAGGTGGAGAGAAGGGGAAGACTCAGCAGACAGTGCATGGGAAAGAGGAAGCAAAGCATGTGAAAGAGACAGAAAGGCTGAAAGGGCATAAAGGGGAGGGCTAGATGGAGAAAAAGATGGCAGGAGAAGAACATCCCAACCAGAATGCATCCAAGGATGCACCCCACTTATTACCATCCTGTTTCTATGCTTTTTGGGTTGAGGGGGAAAGGGAGCCAAACACAAAACCCACACAGGTACTGTTGTTGCCAGCTGTCTCCCAGGTGGGAACACAAACAGTATTTCAAATGGCCACATGATTTTGAATTGAATGAATTTAGAGTGGAGCTTATTTAGTTGCAAATGTAAAAGTAGATAAGCCCTATGGCAGCTGAAATGAATGAGAAAAAGCCAGACCATGTGCCTTCAACAAGACAGCGTGACTAAGAAGAGAAATACAGTAGGTCTTCTCACTGAGAGCTCTAAATTAAATCTCAGGCAAGAATATCAGCACTGTTCCCCAATAACAATGATTGTGGATTGGGATTCTGTGAGGAGTCTCACACAGCTCATAATTATTTGCCATTTAACCTGTTTATTATATAGGTGGAGCTTCATTCTGTATTGCTTCTTTCAGTAGCCAGTGCTTTTTCCCCTCCTTGTCTTTTAAAAAGGATCTGAGCACAAGCCTGCCTCAGGAAGGATAGGACTATGGCTACTGTCTAAGCTCCACTGTGGAAAACACTAACTAAAACCCTGTAGAGCTCCTGCTGCTGCCTAGTGAGCATGGATCTGGTTCAGTATAAGATAGCAACTGCAAAACATTATATGATGAAGTAATGGGTAGGAACTACCTAGGAAATTTTACTGATCTTCCTGAAA